TGCTGGTCCCTCTCTCTGGAATGACCTCCCACTGAACATTCGGCAAGCCCCCTCGCTGCCCATCTTTAAAACCCGCCTCAAAACTCACTTGTATTCTTTGGCATTTGACTCAGCATGACTCAGATTTGATCTTAGTTTTACTGTTTGGTACCTTCTACCATCTTTGTTACTGAGGTATTGCTTTATTTATGTATATATGTTAGTTGCTCCATGACAGCACTTTGTATGCAGCGATGGCTGTTTGAAAGTGCTCTATAAATACAGTTGAGTTGAGTTGAGACGTGATTTTCGAATTGTTAATTTTAATGAATGTGCTATACAAATTGTGTGCATGATTTGGCCTCTTCTGTCACATGCAAATATGTTTGCAGCTGTGTCTGTGACAAGGAATATCACTTTCTCTGCTATGGCCCATTCCTCCTTAAGTTTTTATTTATTTTTTTGCTTCAACCAGCAGTGTGCTGCTGTGGGAAGTGTTCTACTCCCAACACTGATATACACACTGTATGGTGGTCACTGTCCGCAATGACAGGTCACAGCCAGATAAGCCTCCATGTTGATGGATGTCAATATGTCAGCTGTTGGCATGGGGAGAGCATGTTAACTCCACACAGGAAGGCCAGAGGCGGAATCGGACAATGTGCTTGGAAGAACCACAGTTCATCACGAGAGTGTGCGCCGGTCCTTCCTTCGCTATAATGCCTCAGCATTGTTAAAGAGCTCCGGTTCCTGTAAGACACGTCCGGGGAGCAAATCCTACATTTTCCTTACAATAGAAAATAAAACTTAATCAATATAAACTGACTAAAATATCCTTAGAAAGAAATTAGAATGATGCGGGCTTCCTTTTAACTCCCGAAAGAAAAGACATTCACAAACATACTATAACTTCAATGTAAAAACACGTTCTAACCTCAGCTCAAGAGGTTGGCAAATTTGAACCTGCATGTATCCACAGTGAACATAATGCACAACCTATTCAACTTTTAACTCGCGAAACCTTCCCGTTGAGCTCCGTAAAAGCTACAATCTTTTCAGATTGTAATTGATTGTGGCTCAAAACCGTCCGTCCAATGCCATCCAATGTGTACACTTTCTTTTTCAGGTCAACCACAGGGCACATCAAAACAGACACGCATTTACAAAGTACACTCACACCACATGGAATCTACTTCAAGTGTTCAAGTAATCTAACATGTATTTTTTTCAATGTCAGAGGATGCTCGGGCTTGTGAGAAATTCAGGTAAAGCATGAATAAAACATGCAAACTCCACAAAGGAAAGCAAAGGCAGGATTATTGACTTAGTTTCAGAGGAATTTTCCTTTTTTTTTTTTTTTTAACTGGACACCAGAGGCACAATTTACACAACCACCAGACATCTTGTGTGCATCTAATAAGCCCACCAAAGCTGTCATTTTTATTAGATTTAGCACATCTGCCTCTGAGGTATCTATTTGAATCTTAGCATCTAATGACAATGGATGAAACCAGCCCCCCTTTGTCTTTGTTCAGATGAAGTTCATCAATATTAAAAGCTCAGTGGAGCAGCTACGCAATTTCACATGATAAGAAACTCAATCATTGGCAGAAACACTGTTCCAGCATTTATGAATAAGAGCAATTGCAAACGGTAACATGGAGACATCCCCCCAACCCCCCTCTGTTTGTATAAACGTATCACACGGTTGTTTGAGTTCTTTGAAAATGTTTGTTTGCCCCAGCAAATTTTAAAAAATCAATAAATCAATCAAAATTACTATCAAAACAGCATGCCGTTTACGTCAAATTAATAGATTTCATGATGGTAAAAGGCTTCTTCCTACCAAAATAAACACGCAAGGATTTATTTACATAGCGCATTTCATGCACACTCAATATACCTCACATATTTAAAAGTACAAGCATTGACAAACAAAAGAACTAAATACATGTACAAAGTACCGAATTAAAAAGTTATCTTACTAAAATTACTAAAAGAACAAACTGTCATGATCGAATGATCAAATACATAGAAAAAAATTCTTCCACAATGTTTCTTACTGCAGTGAATCAAAATGAAATATTAAATATTGTAAAAACATATAAAAGTAAAAAATCAACTGACTGTTTTAATATTGATATGACAATAGTAAAACATATCATAGAAATTGTAGTGCGACCTTTTACATACATATGCAACTTGTCATTTCAAGCAGGTATTTTTCCATCAAAAATGAAAAGAGCTAAAGTCATTCCAATTTTTAAAAGTGGAGAAAAAAAATTTCTTCACAAATTATAGACCAATATCACTGCTACCACAATTTTCAAAAATATTAGAAAAATTATTCTCTCACAGACTTGACAACTTTATAAACAAACACGGGCTGTTAAGTGAAAATCAATATGGCTTCAGAGAAAAACGTACAACCTTAATGGCAGTAATGGAGTTTGTGGAAGCAATAGCAACTAACATAGACAATAGGGAATTCACGGTTGGGATTTTTTTGGAGCTGAAGAAAGCTTTTGATACAATAGATCATACTATATGATTGAATAAATTAGAGAGATATGGTATCAGAGGCATAGCATATAAATGGATTGAAAGTTATTTAGAAAATAGATATCAGTATGTGCAATTCAACAACAAAAAATCCAACTCACTGAAGATTACCCATGGAGTGCCACAGGGATCAGTGCTTGGACCAAAATTATTCATTCTATATATAAATGACATCTGTAGTGTTACAAAACAATTCAAATGTGTCCTATTCGCTGATGACACAACCTTCTACTGCTGTGGAAAAAATATGGAACAACTCCTGAAAACTGTGGAAAATGAATTAACCAAATTAAAAAACTGGTTCGACAGAAATAAACTATCTTTAAATTTAACAAAAACTAAGTTAGTTATTTTTGGTACGAGACCTATTAAAGACCAAGTTAAAATAAAGATAAATTCAATTGAAATAGAAAGAGTTTATGAAAATAAGTTTCTTGGACTAGTAATAGACACCAAACTATCCTGGAAGCCACATATTGATAATGTTAAAAGGAAAATATCCAAAACCATCGGGATACTCCATAAAACTAAGGATGTGTTGAATATGAGTTCCTTGTACACATTATATTACTCATTATTACTCCCATATATGACCTACTGTGTGGAAATATGGGGTAACGCCTGTAAATCAAACACACTCCCTGTCTTAAAACTACAGAAAAAAGCAATCAGAATAATCAATTGGTCTAAATATATCGAACCCACAAATCCACTATTCATCAAATCAAATACAATGAAATTCTATGACCTGGTTGACTTCAAAATTGCCCAATTAATATATAAAGCACATAACAATCTCCTTTGTCAAAATATCCAGAAGCTTTTTGAAATCAGAGATAGTTGTTATAATCTAAGAGGTATTAATCAATACAAAAAATCCAGAACAAGAACAAACATCAAGCAAAGATGTGTATCAGTAATAGGAGTTAATCTGTGGAATAAGCTTGAGATGGATCTGAAAATGAGTAAATCGTTGGACGAGTTCAAAAACAAATTCAAAAGATTAGTACAAAAAAACTACATAAAACAAAGTTAAGAAGATAAATTTTATATACTGGTACTTATAAAATATAGTAATACTATGGTTTGTTCTTGTTCTGGATTTTGAACAACTTATTGAATGTATTCAAGAAATGTAGTATATATAATGAATATGAGTCATTTGATATAAAAAGTAGAAAGAACAATGATACATATATACAAACCGAAAGGTGTATCAATAGATAAGCATAGTACACAAAAGGGTAAAAGTATTTGATGAAATTTAGATTTCTTCTTTTTCTTTGGTATTGGAAATGATCAATATACATTATTGCACAACAAGGGGTAGGATTAGATAAGTTGTATACTTCTTCCTACTCCTTTGAACATATAACTGTGATGATTTTTGTATTACTTACTTTTACTTTTATTTTCCTTTCATAATTTTTGTTTGCATTTTGTCATGTTATTGTATGTTTTATATATGTTCAATAAACAAACAAACAAACAAACAAACAAACAAAAACAATGATCACATTCTGTTAGCGTCCAGCAGGTGGCAGAGGCGTTCCCGGTTTTCCTGCGGTGCACCTGTCTGGCATCACAATTATTGGGACTATTTAAAGGACCTCATGGACCCACGTCAAGCTGTCAGATAATTTCCCCTTGCTCCAGTCATTGTTCATGTCCATTTCATTTAGACCCTATCTTAATACTTTCCTTCCATTTTTGGCTCTTGCCTTGATTTATGTTTTCTCGTTTTTTTGGGGGCTCTTGCCTTTGCTTATGTTCTTCGTTATTCATGTAAGTAGTTCTTGGTGTGTTTAAGTGTCTCCACGTTTTTTTTTTCTCCACGCGCTTTGGTCTTTCTTGTACTTTTATTACAGGCTATTTTCGTTCAGAATTTTTCCCCGCCTTGTGCAAGCGCTTTTTGTTTTCTTCACATTACTTGCTTCAATTTTTTGTAAATAAATATTTTTGTGAGATCAACTTTCCTGAGTCAAACTTCATAGGTTCCGAGTCTGTTCGGAACCTTTCGGATGCTCAACAAAAAACAGTAGTTGTAAACAATTTTGTAACGTTGATTCTAATCATAGGTACGGGGGAAAGCCTTGTTTTTAATCTGGATTTAAGAGTAGTCACACTTGGGGCTGACTTTAATTCTGTTGGCAGATTATTCAATTTGTGTGCAGCATAACAGCTAAATGGTGCTTCACCATGTTTGCTTTGAATTCCGGGCGCCAATAATGAACTCAAGTCTGCAGACCTCTGAGCCCTACTGGGTATATTGAATGAGCATTTTTTAAATGGATGAGAGTGTTCCATAAGCCTGCCATGCATGTTTTTGGAATGTGGGAGGAAACCGAAGTACCTGGAGAAAACCCATGCTGGCACAGGGAAAACATGCAAACTCTACTCAGGAAGGCCAGAGCCGGAATCAAACCCTGCAACTTCCTGCAATCCTCTTTTCCTTCTTGCCAAAAACAATGACCTGTTTTCTTTTGTTTCGTTGGAAGGAAATGTTGGTTCATCCAACACCTTAATTAAACTGCTGTTGTTTGGAGACACTAAATATAGCTCGCTGCATGTCATCTTCATAACCATGTTAGTCAAAATGGGTGTTCTGAAGAATTTGACCCAAGGATACATGGCTGAACAAAAGGGGTTCAAGGACGGACTCTTGAGGAACTCCACATGTCATTGGGTTTCGGATTTCAATTTCGGGTTTTAAACCAGGGTTATGGTTTCAAAGTAGGATTTTAAACTAGGGTGGGATTTTCAAATTTGGGTCTGATTTTCCAATTAGGGTTTGAAACCAAGGGCACATAGAGGGCCGATCTTTGACGAAGGGGCGTCCTGCTGAGATAGATGAGTATAAAGTTGCGTCCACACTTCCAAACCCCTGACCACCCACTGCACTCGACAAATAATTTTTTGATGTGCATCAAAATCGGCCGGCTGTCCCGGCATCCACTGACCTTACGTGCCCATCTACCTGACAGCAGTAATCATAATTATGTTTCTATTATGTAAAACTGCTTTACTTGATGTACAGTCTCAATCTCCGTTTGTGCTTAAACTCGTCTCCAGGTGCCATCCCATCTTGTGGACTGAAAATGTAAAAATATATAAGGCTTGGAGGAAACGGTTAAACTATGAAAGGACAAATAGGTCATGGAAATACTGAACATATGCCACTTTGTGTGGATTTTTGGCATCATCGCACATCTGTCTCTTCAGCTTAGAGTTGTTTGTTTGTGAAATGAAAACAGTATAAAATGCAATTCGGGACATTTACATAGTTGTTTTTTTTTATTGCAAACGTGGTTTCTTATAAAAGGGTCACAAAAGCAAAAAAAGAAGCTTGAAACCCAACAAATAGTGTGAGAGCTGACAAATCCCCAAGAAAATGCCTGCAGTCTTAAGAGCTTTGAAAAATCACATTTATCAAAACAGGAAAAAGATGACAACATAATTTCCTAGGTGATGATAAATAACACTGAATGTTAATAGGCTACCGCATCACGAGCACATTACAAATCTAAGCCTACTTAAGGCCAAAATACGAATTGCAATTATGTTGAAAACCCAACAATGTGTATAGATAATGTGACACTTTTAAGCTGATGTCTGTCTTTCCGGAGACAGATTGACTCATTTAGCTACGCATTTAAATTTGGATTCAGATAACTATTGTCAGAGCAAAAAAATTAATACTGTACATGCAAGTCCAATAGAAATATTGCAGTTTCAATGCTACATCAGCTGATATCACAGATAAACAGCAGTGACAAATATATGACTCATGTTAAAAGAAAAAACACACCTCATTTTAAGTGTAAGGTAAAAATCCTTTGTAACTCACACAATGTTCGATAAACAGTCGATTAATTCGTCTTACAGACCCCTTGTGTTCTTATCAACAGGTTGAGGAAATACTACATCCCCACTTAAGTATGTTCCAGCATATTTGACATGCTTTCAATGTTAGCTGTTTTTCCAATGGTTACGCTCCGTTTTAAATTTGACTGAAACCAAAAATCATTGTCAAATGATCATGAAAAAAACAGGTTAGCCAATCATTTCTATCAGACATTTTAGTACGCAATGTGAAAGAACTTTTTGCTATGTTGGGAAATTCAGGTCGCAGAAGGTGAGCAGTAGAATTGTTCTGTCTCTATGCAACAAAGAAAAGCAGTGAGTGACACATTAGCAGAGAAACAAGAGAAGGAAAAATGCTGTTACTTGGAATTGTTTGCTTTGGAAAAAGCCAATTAATTTAGTTCCTCTTATTTGAAAATGTTGTAATGTGTTTATAATCACGAATAAAAGCTGGTTTTGTTCTGCAGCTGGACCATCGAAAGAGTTTTCAAGTACATGTTGTACACACCTGTGCATCAAAGGATTTAGGTTGGTGACAGTTAAAAATCTCATTAGGTTTGTTACCAAATGGATGTCAATTTTGCTGAGAATTGTAAATCATTTTGATCACAGTTTCTGTTATGCAGCTCTATTTTATGCCTCGTATGCCAAAATCACTCAAAATACAGGAAAGCTACAGTGCTAGTACTCTTTAATAATTATGTAGTGCTGTTAAAAAAAAAAAAAAAAAAAACAGCTGTCAGCTCAAGGCGTACACAGGCGTCACCTCACCGTTTTCTCTCGAGCCACCTCACTTCGTTCAAGCCACCAATCACACAGCTCTCCCCTGCACTGTCTACCCAACAACATTCTTCCAAATCGTTTTTGTTTTTCTACATATACAGCCATAGAAACACACATTTATCCTAGCACTTTCCTGTATGACAAAACAGCGTTCCCTAGCAGGGATTAACGTTACAAGCGCGTATCTCCTTCCGGTCCTTGCAGTTGCCCGTCAGAGTGCCTTTAGCTCTTTTCTTCTTCAACATGAAACGCTCCTGGATACCCCCTCCACAGGATTTGGTGCAGTCTGTCCAGCCGGTCCAGGGCTGCATCCCACAACCTTGACAAGCAAAGATAAGACAGTTGCATGCCTCGGAATGCTCTCAGGCATTTACGTTTGGAAGAATTTCAATGACCAACCTGACTGTTCTTCCAACACCGCATGTCTTCCCTGTTTACCCCTTCTTCGCCTCTTGCTCTCCTCCTTTGGTTTTGATCGGCACTTCCGGATCTTGCATTTCTTGCGTTGAATGGTCTCGGGACATGCGCTGCCCCCGAACTGCGGCTCCAGTTTAACCATGCGGGTTCGGATGGTGTGTCCTTTACCGCAGGACTTGTTGCATTCGGACCACTCGGACCACTCGGAGACCATGCAGTCAATAGCTGGAAGAAATAAAGGAAACATGTACGCGCACACATGCGTACGCACGCACACAGGTTCAGTGAGTTGATCGTGTCTTTCAAAGTATTCGTACCACTTGAACCTACAACCACACTCATACAATTTTATTTAATTGAGATTTAATTTAAATAATCAATGCTCAGCGGAACAAAATGTCACGATCTTTTTGTTGGGCTTTTGTTTTGAATACAGTTAGTTTTGTTGCGTGTCATGTCAATGTTTTCTTGTAGCTTCTTCTCATGTCTGTCTTGTTTGGGTTTTCTGTCCACCTGTTCTCTGTTGTCTACACCAATCAGCTCCCTTGTCCAGGCGTTCCCAGCCTGCTTATCTGTTTGTTTGAATTCGTGCTGCATTCAAGAGAACTCACTCGGATCGTCTGAGTTCCGACCTCAAAGCGTTCCAGGCGGATGTCAACAACAAAGACGACTGATTCCAATAAATTGTTTGTTTTTCTGGTTCATCACAACCTACTTTGACCTCCAGCAAACCTTCATAGTTTCCTTCATTTATATAAATGAAGGAAAATCTTCAAAGCATTTCATTCATTTCACCAAATAAATGCAGGGAGATAACAGTGAATCTTCACGCAGCCAGTACAAATCATGCTATGTAGCAAGAAATACATAATTATCAATATATTTATAATGGAACTTATGTTTTCACAGTGGTAACACTGTCGAGTAAAGAAACATTGAAGTCAGTTGGTGAAGTCGGGGTTCTTGTTTTTCCAACTTCTAAACTTGGACCAAAGGGCCAAGTTTAGAAGTTGGAAATGTTTAATATAAATGTTACCATATAAATGTTTAATCACCTCCACATATGACATACACGGCACACAACAAATTGATGGATAACTCGTTTTAAAATCAGAGGTCAAGAACAATGACTGTTATTGTGGATTACATATGACAAGTTGAAATTTTGTTTCAGACTTTAGCAAGCATCATGGAACTTGACATGCTTGATTTACTTTCGCGTGCCACATAAAATTATGTGGTGGGCCAGATCAAGCCCCCGGGCCTTGACTTTGACAACTGTACATTAGATGGTGCTACACAATACAATACACTCGAGCTTTATTTATATAGAGCCTTCACAACTGCTGTAACAAAGCCATAAGAACTGGTCACAAACATGGACATGAAAGATATCAATACAAATGGCATTATAAAACGATAAAAGAAAGAAAAAAGTTATGAAGACAATTGATTCAACAAATAGGAGGACAAACCTTATGGGCTTACATCCACAAGGGGCTAAATATCCTTGAAAGTCTTGCTTGGCTCCTTCTTCCTTCGTTTAGTCAGTAGTTAATGATGCTTTTGGTATTACCTTCATTTCATAATGGCTACGCAAAGCTCACACAGTATTTGTTTGTTTGAGTGTGTTGGCTAAGGCACATGTCAATTAGTGTTGGGCAGAACCCTTTTATGTTACCAATGGTTCCTGCTAATAATCAGCACTAGATGGCATCGGAACACTAACAGGGAAACCACAAAGAGACTCTAACACATTGGTTCTTAACCTGGGTTCGATCGAACCCCAGGGGTTCGGTGAATCGGTCTCAGGGGTTCGACGGAGCCTCTGCCATGGAGGGTAAGACATACGCGACACAACATTAGTTCAGTTCATCAGTTCATTAGTTATGACACGCCCGCTTGTCCATCACTGGCTGCAAATGATCACATGACATTGCTTGTCCAATCAGTGCTGTGGGAGATTTAGTTCGCTTAGTTGTCAACGTGTAACTGTGTGATAGTACGTCGTACAAAAAAAAAAAAGTATAATTATCTCTTGAAATTTTATTTACTTTTTTCTGTTTTTAAAAAATGCGGGGTTTTTTGTATCTTGAATTTTTTTTCACTCATGAAGGGTTCGGTGAATGTGCGTATTAACTGCTTGGGTTCGGTACCTCTAAAAAGGTTAAGAACCACTGCTCGAACACCATATCTAAGGCGCATCAGATTATAGGGCGCACTGTCGTCTAGTGGGAAAATTGAATGCTTTTAGTGTGGAAAATACAGTGTAATAATAATTTAAAAAGAATGAAATGGTTCCATAAATGAAATGCATATCAAAATCAATTTAGCGTTATAAACCTTACTTGGGTATCAAACCCACACCGTCAAACTAACCTTCAGGAAAACAAATATTTTATTTGCCTATATGACATCAAAATGGTCCCACTAGGTCAGGGGTGTCAAACTCATTTCACATGGTGGGCCACATACGGCCTGGGTAGATGTCAAGTGGGCCGGACCATTAAAATGATACCATACTTTGCTATAAATAACCAAAACAATAACAAGTAATTGGTTTTGAAAAATATAGTAATGCACTTTAAGATTAAACGAGATTTATCAAGAAAGGAAGTTTTAAACCATTTACACGTGCATATAAAATCTAAATGTAATCCCTGCCTACACCTTACAAACTAAGGAGCGTGCTATTAAATGTGTAAATGTGAGAGTGCTATTGATAGCGTCTGCTGTCATGGGTCTGTCTCAGTGATGGACTGAGGCTGCTGTTGTCTTCTTCTCTGATCAAAACAGTGTCCCCTAGCGGATACTCAATGAATTGCACCTTATTAAAAATATTTATTCTGTGTCTTTTATGCATTTTCTTCACTTTTAAATTATCCTGTGGGGCCTGATTGAACGGCCCGCGGACCGTATGTTTGACACCACTGCTTTACATAATCATCTCGCGGGCCGGATTAAAGTCCTTTGCGGGCCGGATCCGGCCCGCGGGCCGTACGTTTGACACCCCTGCACTAGGTGGAATCATTTTTCCTTCCTTCGGGGTCCCTCTCACGATGACTTGAAGGCATCTAAGAGTATGGATTCTTAGAGAATATTAATCAAACTAGTGCACACCGGTCAGGTCAGGGATAAAATTGAGCAGCGGTCTCACACCCACCCTTTAAAACACTGTTGCATCTATCATCAAAGAACATAGCACTTCTGCAACCCGATTAAAATGGCAATCTCCCGAAACTTCCAGGCTGGCAAAGAGTGCGCTGATCAGAAACGCATTCAAGAGGCCCCACTGTGAGAATCTGTCCACGGAACAACTATTCATCACACATTTTTGGAAGAGCAGGGTCTCATCAGGTGAGAACGAAAGGGAAGTTGAAATGCGCAAAGCTGGATGATCGAAAATGAACGCACACGTCATCCTGAACTCATCATCGCCACTGTGAAAAATATGGACACGAGCAGACCACGGGGATGCTTTTCTTCATCAGGGAGAGGGAAGGTGAGTAGAGTTGATTGGTAAATGGTTGAGCCAAATACGGCTTAATCTTGGACAAGCACCTTGGATCAAATCAGCGAAAGATGGAGACTAGGAAGGTCACCTTCCAGCAGGACAATGATCCCAAGCATTACAGCTCGAGCTAGACTGAAATGGATTAGATCAAAGCATATTCACCTGCTCGAAAAGCCCAGTCAAAATCCACACCTAAACCCCTTCCATATTACAGTTATGTGCAACTTTATGTTGTTTGGTCAAATGAAATACCAATTGAATAAATGCAGTTTCTGTGCCATCTTTTAATTCAAAGTTTTATGTATCAGGGCCGAGTAAAAAAAAAAAAATAGTTCTTGCCAGGTCTTAAAATCCAGTAACTACAGTCGAGAGCAGTGGTTCTTAACCTTGTTAGACGTACCGAACCGAACCAGTTCATATGCACATTCACCGAACCCTTCTTTAGTGAAAAATAAAAAGATGATTTTTTTTACAGATTCAAGACATTAAAAAACACATTTATCAAAAACAGAAAAAAGTAAATAAAATTACAATTAGGTTTTTTTAAATTGTATGACGTACTATCACGACAGTCACACGTTGACTACCCGCAGCACTGATTGGACAAGCAATGTAATGTGATCATCTGCAGCCAGCGATGGACAAGTGGGCGTGTCATAACTAATTGACATCTTGAGTCGGGTGTGTCTTAACCTCCATGGCAGAGGCTCTGTTGAACCCCTGAGACCGATTCACCGAACCCCAAGGGTTCGATCGAACCCAGGTTAACCATGTGCTGCAGTCGATCTAAATAAGTTTATATAACGAAACATACAATTTTACAAAAATTGTAAAAGTATTATTCCTGAATATTTATTTCACTTTCAGCCACTCGACATGTTCAGTGGCATCAGTGCTATACATACACATATAGTTATTATTTTTTTCTTTGTATTTTTGCCCTCTATGGACAATAAAAGCGGTATTGTGCTATGACCAAAACATAAATATAAATCTATATAAATAAAACATGAATTGGAATATTTCATATCACACACTTTTTATGCTGTGTCTTTGATTTAAAGATGACAATACGCAAAAATCTACAAAAATTGTAGAAATTGTAACATATGGGGTAACCCATGTGTTACAAACATCGTAGAAATTGCAGCACAAGGGTTACGAACCGCTGGTCTCGAGTGAAAAAACAGGATTGCACTGTATATAAAAAAAATTAAAAAAATTGTTACGGTGATAATGGCCCAAGCCACATGTGTATTGGAATGAGTTTCATTTGGAATTGTATGCGTTTATCTGACTTTGACCAATCAGATGCAACCTCAAATGCACATCACCATCCAATACAAGAACAGCGAGTCACTTGCACTAAATAACTTTAAAAGTATCTATATTTCGTATAAAAATGGTAAGTAATTACAGAAGAATACACTGAACCTGATTATTTTGCCGCATGAAAAAGTTTTCTTTCTTTAGGTACATATTAAAAATCGCAGTATCAATATCAGGATATTCAACATGCATATTGCATATTTTTCCAATATCATGCGTCCGTAACAGCTACATACCTCTCCTCTTTATACGGCCTGGCGCAGAAGGCCTGGCACTACTTTTCTATTTGATCCTTTGTTTTGCACAAGTCCTTGCTTGCCCATGTTGCCCATCCACCAATCCTTTTCTTTCCTTTTCTTTTCAACTATCCTTGCCCAGATTGTTCTATGCCTTCCAACATTTATTTTTAATTCTGGCTGCCAAGGTGATGCCGTCATACGCTGGTGATCATTTGGCTTTCTTAGTAGGTGACCTATCCAATTCCATCTTCTTCTCTTCGCTTCAAGCCTTATCTGTGGAACTTCTGTTACATTTTTGAGCTCATCCATGGAGATGACGTTATGCCAGAAAATCTGCATAACTCTATTTGAACATTGGTATTGAAAAGAGTCCAGCCCATTTTTGTTGCTTTTGGTTATTGGCAAGGTTTCACAACCATAGAGTGGAACTGGTCGTACATGTGCTTTATGGATTTTTACTTTTGTTTTCCTGCTGTATTGCCATACTGCAATACCTATTACATTGTGCCAGTATTAGCTTAATAACAACTGAGCATAAATTCTTAAATAATGCACAAATGCATCATAAATTATGCATGAATATCCATAATGCATAAATGTAGTATGTCAAAAAGGAAGTACAACCCCACGAGAACAACATTTAGCAGCAATGTTTGGAAGTAATTGAGTTGACTGACATTACCCATGATGATGGCCACCTCTGCTGAAATGGTCTCTATCCTCGTTTAACAGATCTTTCAATTCTACACCTTAAATTAAATTAAGAATAAATATAATATTACTGTTTGGTTCTATTTTTTGAATGTTCTCTGTAAAAACATTTTAGAATGGTGATGATATATAAACAGAAAAACTGTACCATGAGGAGTGTAAAACTTTGCTCAAAAGAACTTTTGAGGCAAAATAATGTCCCCCCCATGCATATCATTACATTAGATTAGAAAAAAAAATCAATTAGAAAACCTTTATTAGTCTCGCAATGGAGAAATTCCAATTTCTTTTCCCAAACATTAAGAACATTTGTAAAATGTGAGTGGGATACTCACGACACTCTGGCAGCATGCACTTCTCAGTCTGCTCCAACTCTTCAGTACACTCTCCAGGATCGGATTTAAGCATCCTCTGGCGGGTGCGGAGTCCACGCCCACATGTGACACTACATTCGCTCCAGTCAGACCATGGTGACAACATACATGGGATGGTATCTGCAAATGCACGCATACACTATTGAAATCAATGAACTGAACTGCAAACCCTGTCACCTACAGACTCAGTTTGTACTATATTTGATTTGATTCATACTAACCCAATTCTGATGAAGTCGGGACGTTGTGTTAAACATAAATAAAAAAAAAAAACAGAATACATTGATTTGCAAATCATGTTCGACCTATATTTAATTAAATACACTACAAAGACAAGATGTTTCATGTTCCAACTGATAAACTTCATTGATTTTTAGCAAATCACGAACTTAGAATGTTACGGCTGTAACACGTTCCAAAATAGATGAGACAGGGTTATGTTTACATCGTGTGACATCACCTTTTCTTTTAACAACATTCAATCAACGTTTGGGAACTGAGCACACTAATTGTTAAAGCTTTGTGGATAGAATTCTTTCCCATTCATGCTTGATGTACAGCTTCAGCTGTTCAACAGTCCGGGGTCTCCATTGGGGTATTTTACGCTTCATAATGCACCACACATTTTCAATGGGAGACACGTCTGGACTTCAGGCAGGCCAGTCTCGTACACACACTCTTTTACTATGAGGCCACACTGTTGTAACATGTGCAGAATGTGCTCTGGCATTTTTCTTGCTCAAATAAGCAGGGGCGTCCATGAAAAAAATTTTGTTTGGATGGCAGCAGATGTTTCTGCAAAACCTGTATGTACTTTTCAGCATTAATGGTGCCTCCACATATGTGTAAGTTCCCCGTGCATTTGGCACTAACACAGCCTCATACCATCAAAGATACTGGCTTTTGAACTTTGAGTCCATAACAGTCCGGATTTTCCTCTTTGACCCAGAGGACATGACGTCCACAATTTCCAAAAAACAATTTGAAATGTGGACTCGTCAGACCACAGACCACTTTTCCACTCTGCATCAGTCCATTTTAGATAAGCTCGGGCTCCAATGTGTGTCTGGGTGTTGTTGATAAATGGCTTTTGCTTTGCATAGTAGAGTTCTAAGTTGCATTTAGGGATGTTAACGCCAAATTGTATTCATGAACATGTTTTTTTGAAGAGCCCTTGTGTTGACATCCATTACATATTGATGTTGGTATTTGATGCAGTGCCGCCTGAGGGATCTTAGGTCACGGGCATCCAATGCTGGTTTTTGGCCTTGCCGCTCACATGTATTGATTTCTGCAGATTCTCTGAAACTATTGATGATATTATGGACCTAGATGATGACATTCCCAAATTCTTTGCAATTGTATGTTGAGGATGTTCCAAACAGGTTTTTGATGAGCATTCCTTAACTTTCTCTGTCTTTTTTGCCCCCGTCTCAGCGTTTTGGAAATATGTTGCTGCTGTAATATTTAAAGTTAATGATTACTTGCTAAAAACGATCAAGTTAATCAGTTTTAACAATAAATCTTTTGTCTTTGTAGTCTATTCAATTAAATATAGGCTGAACATGATTTGCAAATCATAAAGATAAGAAAACCTTTCTTCGCCCCACAATGGAGAAATTCCCAATTTACAGCAGCAAAGTTATGAATTTTCTGTATTCATTTGTTTTATTCATTGTCCCAATGGAAGTGGCATTGTATTACAGAGAAAGTGCTTTTTTTTTCTTCTTTTTTTAGGGGCAAGGGGGTTTTATTTATTTTTTATATTTTACTCACAGCATTCTGGCATCATGCATTTGTCAACTTCGGCCACCTCCGTTTTACACATTGACCCATCAATCGGAGGCATTTTAACCATTCGCTCACGTCTTCTCATGCCCATCCCACAGGACACACTGCAGGGTTCCCACTCAGTCCATTCAGTCACCACACAGCTGCTGGCTGCTGTGGGGCAGAAAAAAAAGACAAAAGTCTGATATTCCTGACAGAGAAGACACTTTTGAAACTTTGCAATGACATTTTAAAATAGCACACACTATGTAGACAAAAGTATATGGAAAGCTGAGAATTATGAACAGACACTAAAAAGGGCAAACTTTCACTCATTTTGGCAAGTCATTGATGTGTGTTGAAAGAACCTGGCTTGTAATCTCATCAACATTGTAGCGTATTCCAAAAGTGCTCTTTATCGAGCCAAAATCATCCAATTACTATTTCAAGGACCATTCATGGGCACAGTCTTCCCACAAAGCCAAGAATTGCCCTGTATGTCACTTAATAGTGTGATCAATTAATTCCTAGGGTGAAATAAGGAATTTAATCCTACTTCTTACTGCACTACTCTTCTCTATGTTGAGTATGTAGTCATGTTAATAATTGGAATGTAAATAAGAGGAATACAGAATTGTCACAAATACAACAATGTGATGAGACACTCACAGCATTCTTCATTGACGATACACTTCTCTATCTCCTCTGTGTTGAGTTGGCAGAGAGATCCATCCTCTGGGTACTGTTTGACATAACGCTCTCTGGACCTCATTCCCATCCCACAGGAAATGCTACAGGCCGACCAGCTTATCCACTCTGACATCATGCATGTCGACGGCTCTGCACAGCAAAACAGGAAAGACGCAGGACTCTATTTGTGTGCCCAGTGCAAATCTATCGCGAAGCACAGTCCAATTGGAAGAAATTTTCTTTCTTTCTTTTTTTTTTTTTTTTTTCCCCACAGATGAGTGCAGTTGTTAATGGGCGTTTGCACCGTTGTGGGCGTGAACACAGTTGACCCATCTCCCGGCCAACGGAACCGACTTTCATTTCAGTTAAATTCAACACGCAATGGGCACACAGTCTTTGACATTGCAAAAGCAGAAATAGACTCATTGGAATCGTGTAGAACAGGGGTGCCCAAAGTTTTTGGACCGAAGATCTACTTTTCGATCAACTAACCTCCCGGGATCTACCGTTCCCGGCACACACGCGCACACACGCACGCACGCCATGAGAAACAGCCTGAAACTGAGGCATGCGATGCATTTTTGCAGCCTGTTAACTATCGTAGCTCACACATACCGTTTTAAAGTGCTTCCCTGGGCCCTCCTAGATTTCTATTCTTTGCCCGTGCCCTCGGTGAATTGTACACGAAGCAAACTCTGAATGAGAATAATGACGATAAAAGATAGAGCGCAACAGCTCTGAAGCTGTTGCGCTCTATCTGCAATTGCGCTCACAAGCTGCAATTGCAGACTGCTGAGCGCAAACAACTTCCGGTGACGTAATCACGCGCCATCGTAAATTCAAGATTTACCTGCTTTATTTTATTTTTTTAAATATTTTTTTGTGAAAATGAGACTGATAGGATGATTAGGGTACAGCGTACATTAACACAAAAAATATATTACTAACATGTACAAAGACATACAAATGGTTGTTTTGTTTTTTTTTTCTCCTCAACATGGATCTACTTGGGACCTGTCTTAGATCTACCGGTAGATCAGGATCGACGTAATGGGCACCCCTGGTGTAGAATATCCAAGTGTGCAAAGTATGTTTTTATAAGCAACTGCAAGTAGACCTCCGATTGCTGATAATGTAAAGATGACCAAAGCGATCACAGCTCAACGCTGTGAAGTGGGTACTTGGAGACCACCTTCCAAACCAATTGTACATGTCCATTTATGAACCCAACTAATAGCTGTGCCATCACCAAGGAGGGTGATTTTAATAAAGATAACAATAATAATGATTGAAGACAATTAATTCATTTCTGCAATGATTCAGAGGGGCCAGTGAACGCTGTTGTCATATTTATGAATGCAATACGATGACATCCTCCAAACCCAATGAGCTCAGAACCTCTCTCACTGCACTTCAATCAAATTCACCAAAATTGCGTTAAACCACAACTTTGATCTGCTTTCAGCTAGTCTAAAGTTTTGACTCCTCTCGGAAACAAAACTTTCTGGTGTGCTGTCGGAGTGTAAAAGAAAATGATGTTGGTCTGCCGGAACATACATTATGGCGCATTGTGGACTGCCGATTTCCAAAACACGCAACCGGTCTTGCACCGGTACGAAACTCAAGATGCACCTGTTCTTTGTTTTTTGTTTTTATTTAATGCCCAAGCGCACGTGCGCTATCTAGCAAAATACAACCTTCAATGTTAATTGAGTTGATTGAGTTGAGGGAATCTGTACCCTGGGCAACTTGTGCAAGCTAACATAAAAAAAAAAAAAAAAAAAAAAAAAACCATCACTTTCACATAACTTGATGAAAGGTACATTTGACCCTAATACCAGTTTGCAGATATCTTTAGTAAAACCTTTTGATGGACAGTTAAAAAGGCATATCATGACTTCAATCACTATGACATTTCTAATTACACGGGTTTAACAATGTGAAATGCAAGCAACTCTTACCTGGCACCTACATACTGCACATGCACAAATCGCAGCAAATGCAATATACACATCACCCAGGTGGTCAGATCTTTGAGGTTCTGTTAATTTGCAGGAGGATTGCTTGAGGACCAAAGCCACTGAACTATATTCCATCCCTATTAGCCACTAAAATGTTAGACGGGAGAGTAAGACTCAAAGCATCAAATCCCCAATTTAGAGAGTGTCGACATTGTTATGCTCATCCTGCCTTGTTCCCTTGAAAGATCCTTGTCGCAAGCCACACACAGACACTAACCATTCTCTTTGTTTTCATTTGGTGTTCGGAGAAAGTGGGCCTAGATAATTGCTACAAGATGGGGCACATATACATGGGAAGTCATTGTGCTTCAAAATGTTTGTGCTCTTGAGGCCTCACATTGTTTGCAGATAATTCAACTTTTTTCAATGATTCACTTGTCTTTGCTCTTTGGACTTTTTTTGTTGCTGTTATTAATATGAAAGTGCCTTGCTATACAATAAAAGTTGTATTTTGAAGCTTTGCAGATGATAATATATGAAATTGGTTAGATGAATGGAGTGAAATCAAAGATTGCCATTTGCTTGTAAGTGATACTGTATATCCATTTTTGGAAAAGCAGCCTTGCATTGTTTTTTTTCCACCAATTTTCCAAAATTGTGTCTCATTTGTTCAATCCATTCATCCAGCCATACATCCAACCTTTATATCAATGACAATGGAACAGTAATCCTAAATAAGTGACAACGTATGTCGTAAGAGTACTTCACATTTCCTTTGCCTCACAATTATTTTTGCATTTTTAGACACCACTGAAAATGTTATGCTCTCTGGTGTTTGCTTTTGAGGGAGAAACCTACTTTGGAAAGGAATCTGCTGGGGAAAAATATAGCTAATCCATCTTTTATCATTCTGTCAAGTCATTAAGGTAGTGCCAGCATCACTGTCTAATTATGGATCAACAGCGTTGCGTGACATTCTCAGCATGAACAATCAACTTCTGGAATTAATCTTGACACTTCTTTGACACACGTTCACAGAGAGGCCACCTGATTCATACTGTAGCAAACTTTATTATAATCGCTCAAAATAAACATGGCCCCAATTAAATTTTAGGATCAAACAATTCAGCCAAGCTCTAAAAAATAATTCAGGCAGAAGCTTTCTTATTCCACTCTATTCCATTGATTTAAGCCATAACAAACCACCAAGAGCCACGGACTGTCTACCTGTCAATACAAGATAAATAGCTAAGCTTTAGTTGGCACATCAATTTCAGGCTTTTTAATAGCAAAGAAACACGCTGTAACTCTGAGAGGATCAAAACAGGTGACAGTCTGGTTTCCCTGGATAACGATGTATTAAAATCAACATCATTTCATGACAGTTTCTGCAGAAGAGCTGATGGTATCTGCAAGATCCGTCTGCAAGAGCCCTTTAGGAGCTCTGCTTTTTTTGTTTGTTGTTTTTGTCTTTTTGTTTTGTCATATGGTGTTTTTGTTGTCTTTCATGTGGACCCGATCTGGACTGTTTTCAGTGTTTTGGCCATGACATTCATCAAAGGAGAAGAATCAGTGCTTGGTGGTTGCGCCTTCTCGGCAGCACGCGTGTGCCAGCACAGATTTTGACAGGGAGGAATGTTGGCGCTATTTGACTGTCGCCGCTGGACAGCCCCGGGGCGCTTGTGTTCTTTGCGCCTGTAATGGGCAGCATTCTTCACAGCCCTGTTTTGTTCAGCGAAATTGTCGGTGCTGTTGGACAGTCTACGGCTGGAGGGATGGATGGCTTGTGGAGCCGACAATGAAAAGAAAGGAGCACCAGCGCAGAGCGCAGATGCGTATGTGGAACTGGGAGTTGCCGTTTGGAATTGAAGCGGACAGGACATGTCTCTGTTTTTCGTCAATGCACGCTACAGCTTCTAATTTGCTTTCAAACTTAGCTTGTAGCAGATGTGTGCACATTTTCAGCATGACGTCTCTGATCCACTGGTGAAAGGACACTTTGATTCTCTCCTACTTCATCTACTGTATAACTGCTTCAAACAACAAAGTGTGTGCAGGAAAAGTGGTTAAGATTGCATTACTGTCTGTGTCTTATGTTATGTGTTGTATTATATTATTTTATTTTTTTGTTAATTGTTCTGTAAAGCGCTTTGTTACAGCTGAAGCTGTTGTGAAAGCGCGATATCAATAAATATGTATTGTATTGTATTGTATTGTATCTGAAGAGAGAATCCAAAAGTGAGGCATTCACCAAATGTATGGCCTCAATTACTACTCTTTGTAAATACGTTGGTCAAATGAAGTTTCAGTCAATTGCCATTTTCTCTAGCGGTACATAAATGGAAAAGTTTGTAACTTTGTGTAGTTGGATCAAGTACAGAAAGCATTCGCGTCACCAGTCTTCTGGAGTGTTACTGGTGAGGAGCGCCATACATATGTGTCAGAGTACTCACCCTGCACACTGCATCCAGGGCCCATGCAGGGCTGGAAATCTTGAGTGTGGGGACATGGAACGCTGAGATCGAGCTGGGCTTTAAGCATCCTCTGCCTCATCCGTCGACCTTTTTCACATGATGCACTGCTGCAGGCCGACCAAGGAGACCAACCAGAGTAGATACAAGTCTCAGGGGTGTCATCTAGGACAGAAGAACAGGATGTTGGCTTGCTGGAGGCCACAAAGAGAAATACTGTACATGCAACGTCAATTACTCATCGGTTGTTAATTTATTTATTTTATATCACCTGTGAAATATTGCAGCTCTTGACATTGGATCAGACCAAATCAAACATAACAAGTAAAATGTGATCATTTAATTGTGAGCACTAGCAGGCATCTGTCCCTTCCATAAATCAAACTAAGTGCTCTTGTAGATTCATAAACCTGCTGGGTCAAAAGTAACCCAAATTGGGTGAAATAGCTAACCCAATGCTGGGTCCGAAAGGGACAGAGCCAATGCTGGGCTATTTATACCCAACGCATTGCGCTGATGATTTGACCTACACATTTGGACACTTCAGCCATAATAATAATAATAATAACAATAATAATAATCATAATAATAATAATATTTCATTTTAAAAATGATGAGGTATAGAAACAGTATTTGTACAAATTACAGATTATGCATCCAGCAGCCCAAGAGATTCCCCTTGTGTTGGTGTGGACATGTGAGCAATGATGCATGGCTGGACTCTGACCAGCCAGCTCACTTCCTGCAGCTCCTCAGAACTGACAAGCTGCCACCATTAAAAAGGCCAGACCACCCCAAAAAAATAAATAAATAAATAGATAAAATAAATGTCAGGTCTGCTTGCAGCAACGCAACTGCAGTAAAACTACGAAGTACAATGTTCACACGCACGCACGCACGCACGCGCGCGCGCGCACACACACACACACACACACACACACACACACACACACACACACACACACACACACACACACACACACTCAACTCACTAACTCACTCAAACCAGTACATCCTGCTGTTCAGTTCAATCATTGTATCAGAAAATAAATGGTTATTTTGCTATCAAAAGCCCTTTTAGTATTGTTATGTTGCTTTGTGGGCGGCCCGGTGCTCGAGTGGGTGACGCGTCGACCTCGCAGGGCAGGAGTCCTGGGTTCGATCCCTGTGTGGTGTTTACATGTTCTCCCCGGGCCTGTGTGGGTTTTCTCCGGGTCCTCCGGTTGCATTCCACATTCCAAAAACCTGCATGGCAGGCTGATTGAACACTTAAAATTGTCCCAAGGTGTGAGTGTGATTGCGGATGGTTGTTGGTCTCTGTGTGCCCTGCGATTGGCTGGCAACCGGTTCAGGGTGTGCCCTGCCTACTGCCTGAAGACGGGTGGGATAGGCTCCAGCACCTCGCGCCACCCTTGTGAGGATAAAGCAGACTGGAAAATGGATTGATGGATGGATGGATTTTGCTTTGTCAAAGGATAGTATTATTTAGATATTTCAACTGATGAAAAAGAAAAAAACAAGTTATATTAAAGTCAAAGTTTTGTTTGAAAAATGTTTTTACAAAAGCTCGTTTTCTCTGTTTTTACGCCAGCAATTTGAATTGTCATTAAATTTAGTGTTTTTACAAAAGCTCATTTTCTCTGTTTTTACGCCAGCAATTGGAATTGTGATTAAATTTAGTGATATTCAGATGGCATTTACTAAAAAAAAAAAAAAAAAAAAAAAAAAAAAAAAAAAAAAAAAAAAAAAAAAAAAAAAAAGATCGAAAAATTCTGTTTTTCTGACGAAAGAAGAGGGTCAATCTTTCTTTTGGTATGTTCCATGCTTGCATGGCCATAGAGCACAATAATCTATGGCCCTTGCAAAATTAGCCAGTATCCAGTAAAACGGCTGGGATTGAAGGAGTTCGTCAAAGGAAAATGAGTGGTGGGATTTAATGTGTTAAGGTGTGGTTTCAATTTCTAATAGACAAAAAAAAAAAAAAAAAAAAAATGGAGTCAAATCTAAGTGAAACCCCATTTGAACAACGTACCAGTGTTACATCACGAGGGGTCGCAGGCATGCTGGAGCCTAGCCCAGCCGCCGTCGGGCAGTCGGCGGGCTACACCCTGAAGTGGTGGCCAGCCAATCGCAGGGCACACAGAGACAAACAACCATACGCACTCTCAGTTACTCCTACGGACGATTTCCCATCTTTTTGATACGGGCGAGGAAACCAGAGTACCTGGAGAAAACCCACGCAAAATGTGAATTTTGGCAATGAAAGTACACCATATTCGTGACTATAATCTGTCAAATTAATATCTTTTCCAATAGTGCCTGTGATTATGATGTTTTATTGTGAATCATGTCGAACGATTTGTTTGACTAGATGGTATACCACAATGCTGATGAAAATGATATTGGAAGTATAGAAAAAAAGCACATCAAATTATAGAAGAGAGTTGTGTGATTTTATTTCTTGTAAGAAGCCTTCCTGCTTTGTCCCACACCAGAAAGTTGAGCGTTTGGTTCACAGCTCACAAATAGTTTTTAGAGGTATGACTCACAAATCCAGAAAAATGTGAGTCTCCTCTCCTGTCTCATGTAGGAGTGTGTGCTATTACTTCACCTTTCTCCGTTTCCTCCTGACCAATGTCTGCTACAATGTCATCAATGCTGTCTGGCACCACATTACACTGCTCACCCTGTGTAAAAACAAAGACAACAGAGATCAAATATCAATAATACCCCCATTTGTCCAAAACATAAAGCTAAAAGGCATTCAATTGACATCAAATGAAGCACGCTTATGATACATGTATAAAAATAATAATGTAAGTAATAATAAGATAAATTATTCCACAAAAAACTGGGTGAATTATGACATGAGTTATTCGGTGTGATTTGATTTTATTCATGTTGTGATTGAACTTGCACATTAAAAGTCCACTGTGACTTTGTGTACACACATTCCTATCCAAAAGCTACCACTTGGGAATTGGTATGACCGAAGTTTTGCAATATCAGCTGACAGGTTTGAATTTAACAAACAAAGGAAAAAAAATGTTATTCACTGCCAAAGGAAAAAGAGAGACCATTTTTTTTTTTTTTTTTACCTTTCTGGCGATACGCTCCACCACTACCCTGGCCACTGGGGTAATTGCACCACCCTCTGGGTCATAGAAGGGGCTCTGGGGGTGATCCAAACTAGTTAAAGGGCGAATTTTCTCTTGGGGATTGATGGGCTTGTTTGGTGACTAAAAAGAAAGACAAAAAAAAAAGCAGGTAATAGTGAAGCAATACAAAACATTTTGGATGAATAAAGGTTCCATAAAAACATAAAAACCAACATGGTGTAAACAGAAATGTCTATTTAAATGTTCCTTAGCATAGTGCTTTTTTCCGAATTTTACTCATCTAATTGCATGTGAATTTGTGAGTGGGAGCCCAGGAGGTTCATTCCAAATGAACCTCCTGCCACCTTCTTTCCACCACATGTAAAACTGTCTTCAACTGCAAGTGATCAAACGTCTGATGATTCAGGAGCTATACAAAAGTATTGCCTTGACAAAGATAGTAATGATCTGTTTTCACTGACACTGTCAAAGAGGTATACATTATACAGTGGAGCCTCAATTTATTCATTTAATTTAACAGATGAATTGGGGGAAGGGAGCCGACTGTCGGTTGTATTAAAGTCGTTTTTTTTGTCATGGCCCAAAAACAGATTTTACATTCCAACTTTTTTTCACAGGCAAGAAAATGGCCAATAAAGTAAGAAAAAAAATATTGTCAATAAATAAAAGGTTTTAAACTGTTTGAAAAGTTTTCGAGTTTATCCAAACATACCTTGTTGGCGCTTCTGGGGAGGGGTGAGCGAACTTGTTAATGTCTTACATTTGGTCGTTTGTTACAATGTTAGTGTACTTCCTTTTTTTAACCTCTGTTACGATTGTATTCCATAGAATTGATAAGGGCTTTACAAAAATGGCTGTGTACTGATCCAAAAATAGCATGTTCCAGGAACATGCATATAACTTTCTCCAGCAATAACAACAGAGGCAGATATGAACAGGTCGATACGACATGCTCCTTTTGAGCTAATGTCCATACTTTGCGATAACATTTTAAGGGACTCTCTTCCCTGCTAACATGGCCGCCACCTACAGCCATACATTGCTTTTAATGGAAAAGTCACTCCTGCACAACATGGCTGCCACGCTGGTGCATTTTTTAGCCTGCTTGAGTCTACTGAAAGTCTGTTTGTCTATGACAAGAGAGCAACGCAGCAACAAAAGTCAAACACGTAACCAGTCTTTGTCTGTTTATGGTTTCACAGCACCTTGTGGTAATCCTGGAACCAGCAGTCTTAAATTGCTACCTGAGAAGGGGTGTTTTGATTGGATTGGACACTAGACAGTGTCCATTTGGTTCCACATCTGTTAAATTGAGCTTCCGCTGTTTTGTTTGTTTTGTTTTTTTGGTAGTTGCCTGTGTAGTAGAACCACAATGTAAATATAAAGTTAATCAAACTACCAGAAACAGTTCTAATAAGTGGTAATAGGATATGAGAGGAATATTCCACAACAAACTAAAATTATCCATTCGGTTATTGATTCTCTCGCGTGTTCACAGCAGCAAGCATCTGATCTGTACTGTTGGAAAAGTAAGGGCAAGGGAAACTATAATTAAATGAAATTACTTCATATGTGATACCACTGTCGGTGCCGGCATCCCAGGGTATAAGGTCTGTTACCAGCCGCTGGACCCAGCCACATTCTTTGGTACAGAGGTCCTCTCCTGACAGCCCCACATTCCAGTCAGGACTGGGCCCGAGCATGGTGAGAAAGGACATCAAGTGGCGGGTCTGATCAACAGAGAACTCAGCAGATGGAGCTGCTCGACTGCGGAGAAATCGGGAGAAAAATTATATACGCACACACGCACGCGCGCGCGCACACACACACTTTATATATATATATATATATAGAGAGAGAGAGAGAGAGAGAGAGAGAGAGAGAGAGAGAGAGAGAGAGAGAGAGAGAGAGAGAGAGAGATGAGACTGCACTATACAGTATATAGTACTTCCACCCAAACATTTTCTTTCCCATTATGATAAGAATGGTCGATAATGAAATTACATGATGAGATTGATCGGCGACCCAACGTCAAGTGAAATTGCCGCCAGGTCTCCATCAACACTTACAAGGACAAGTGATGATAGACAAATGTTTGATAGATGCTGCTTGTAAATTTAATGACCATTCACACCAGAGAAAATTACATACATTTATTTAGTTATGCAGCCTCAAAAAAATAATTAAAATGTTTAATAGCTACAGTATATATGAGTGACAAGTTCTGCACCACAGGAGTGCACTTTTACTATCAGCATCACTTGTATTTTTGGGGGTGCAGAGTCGACCCCTAAAATACTGCAGGTCTGAATACTTCCTCTTTGTTGAGTCCTTGTTATGTACTAGCAGTATTTCTTACCTTGTGTACCTGGGTTTTGCACAGATCAGATAATCAGATCATCTTTTTACCCAAGTGATGCTGTACAAAGAAGTCATTTTTCAGTTTCATGAAATAAAGTGTGCTTCATTCTGCAAGTGATCTGGAGTCTGTATTGGTCTGTCGTGATGAAGAAGAAGAACTAGGAGGTGAAGCTCTCGATTAACCGGTCAATCCAGTGCACTTTCCTACCATCGCCTTTGGTCACAAGCTGTAGGTTGTGACCAAAAGAAAAAGATCCCAGATACAAACGGCCGAAATGAGCAGGTGGATCTCCCTTATTTATAGGATAAGAAGCTCGTTCATCCGAAAGGGAGTCAAAGCCCTAATTTGGTAGGATGGCGCCACTGCGCTCTGCGTAAAAACAGCTGTACCTTCAATATTATGCCAGTGCACGTCTAGTCTACCGTGTTTGGGGCAGTGTTGTGCCTTTCTGGGTGTGCCAGTGCACAAAGTTGGCTCCTCATGGTCAAATTTGGTTATAAAAAATAGATTACATTTTACACAAAAATGTTTAACTCTATCCAAAGAATGGATGGCTGGATTACGTTACACAAGTAACTAGTAACATTTAATGCATTTTTAATGTTACTACCCCAACCCTGAATGTACCTGACTTCAATTTTTGCAGTGTCACAAATAATTACATCATACAATTTTAAGAATTGGGTGGACAGTTGATCTCACCTGAAAGAAAAATCACATTATTTGCTATTTTCCTTTTTTTTTTTTGTAGTGTCTTTTCATCAACTACTTCAAATAACGCGAACATAATTTCTCATAGTTTACTAATCTTGTGATAATCTAGACAGTAATTTCAATCATCTCTCAGGTGCCTTTGTCCACTGGTGCAATACTTACAGGTTGAGCGGCTGCCACGCTGGCCACTGAGCTTTGGTTTTAATGACAGTCAGAACTTCATCACCCTAACCAGAAAGGAGAGAATAACAATCTATTTCATTCACTGACAGAAACAAGGCCAAACTCATTCCACATTGCACTGATTGAGATTCCAGACACATTTAATGTAATGTTGCTTGACGCTTTAATTGATGGCGGGGGCCAAATGATTATTATTTTTTTGTTAAGGACACATGTTCCGAAGGGTAATATATCATTTGTTTAATTAAATCTATCGTGCAGTGTATGAAATTAGTGTGCCTTTTTGTGTAGTTAGCTGCGCGCATTGGCGTGGCACAGCAGTTTTATTTATGTGTGAGTGTAAACCACATTATTGAAGGACTCTATAATCCATCAAGCCCGTGTCATGTGTAATAGATGAATTATATGACGCAGTCACCCGAGGAAATATGACATACAGCTACAGTATATGAACATTGATCACTGCTGATAGACAAGTTCTCTGTTCCAAACAATAGGACTCCTTTAATTAATAACAGACTGAGGGAGTTGTTTGGTCAACTAAGGCAAGATCACGGCTCCTCATCGAGCACACAAAACCACAAGAGGAGGGGGTTGAGCTGCCTTCAAGTGTAAGAAGGTCAAGTATGCTGAGCTGTCAGCAAAGTGCTACCTAGTCAAGGTAGGCTGCAGAGGCTTTGCAGGGCTGTCAACTAGACATCTCTCAAAGGTTGCAGAAGTGACCGGAGGGACACAAAACTAACCCCGACAATTCCGTAGGGGGAAAAACCTGCTACAGGGGAGGACGGGGAGATGTCCCTGTCCCTGGTTCGCCAACAGGAGACGAGGAGATTTGGATTTGTATCCTTATAAAGTTTTACTGCTACGTAGGAGGCAAATGCACTTCATATCTCATCTAATGTACATTCAAAATGAACGTCCGCTATTATAAATGAATGCTATTACAAAGTAAAAGGTAGACATGCAAATGAAAATTAGCATAGATGTTATGGTGAATTATAAACCTTCAAACAAGACACAGGGAGCTGTCCAGGGCGTTGTAGACGTATCCTCTTGTGTAACAACCATTGATGACGTCCAATTGTGCATCTCCACCAAATCGTTCACCCCGGCAACCCATTCCACCTTGTCTAACTGTCTTTCTGATATCAAATCCTGGATGCAAACAAACGTTCTCATTCTTAACTACACTAAATCTCAACAGCTGATAATTGGTCCAAGCTCCCTCACCCAAACAGCCTCCAACTTTAACCACACCATCGACAACTCCACCCTGTTCCCCTCCGCTGACTGTCGTAACCTTAGTGTCCTTTTTGATAATAATCTCTTTTTCGTCCAACACATCACCCAAATCACCAAAACTGCTTTCTTCCACCTCAAAAACATTTCTCGTCTCCGCCCCTCACTTTCTTTCTATGCCGCTCAAACCCTCATCCACGCCTTCATCACTACTGCTACGTAGGAGGCAAATGCACTTCATATCTCATCTAATGTACATTCAAGACTGTTAGGTACGGCACTTAACAAGTAATTGTACAAGTACAAAGAGGCAAAACCTTACTTAAAGTTGTTTATTTGTCACTCCAGGCTGCTGTTCCACGCAAAACTAAATCATAAACAATTGACTAAATCAGGGGTGGGCAATCCCAGTCCTGGAGGACCGCTATCCTGCATGTTTTCCATCTGTCCCTTCTCCAACACACCTGATTCAAATGATCAGATCATCAGCAAGCTCTGTCGAGGCCTGAACAATTGAATCAGGTGTGTTGCAACAGGAACAGATGGAAAACATGCAGGATAGCGGCCCTCCAGGACTGGGATTGCCCACCCCTGGACTAAATGAACGTCCGCTATTATAAATGAATGCTATTACAAAGTAAAAGGTAGACATGCAAATGAAAATTAGCATAGATGTTATGGTGAATTATAAACCTTCAAACAAGACACAGGGAGCTGTCCAGGGCGTTGTAGACGTATCCTCTTGTGTAACAACCATTGATGACGTCCAATTGTGCATCTCCACCAAATCGTTCACCCCGGCAACCCATTCCACCTTGTCTAACTGTCTTTCTGATATCAAATCCTGGATGCAAACAAACGTTCTCATTCTTAACTACACTAAATCTCAACAGCTGATAATTGGTCCAAGCTCCCTCACCCAAACAGCCTCCAACTTTAACCACACCATCGACAACTCCACCCTGTTCCCCTCCGCTGACTGTCGTAACCTTAGTGTCCTTTTTGATAATAATCTCTTTTTCGTCCAACACATCACCCAAATCACCAAAACTGCTTTCTTCCACCTCAAAAACATTTCTCGTCTCCGCCCCTCACTTTCTTTCTATGCCGCTCAAACCCTCATCCACGCCTTCATCACCTCCCGCGTTGACTACTGCAAGTGCATCCTCTATACTACAACCTCCAAACTCCTCAATAAACTACAGTACATTCAGAATGCCGCCGCCCGCCTTCTCACCCACACCCGCACCCGTGATCACATCACCCCCGTCCTTAAAAACCTCCAATGGCTCCCCATTCCCCAGCGTATTCAGTTTAAACTCCGACTCACCTATAAAGCCCTTCAAAATCTGGCCCCTTCCTACCTCTCCGGCCTTCTGCATCCATACACTCCTTCCCGCAACCTCCGCTGCTCAAAGACAAACCTCCTCGCCATCCCCGTGACCAAGCTCAAAACCTGGGGGCCTTCTCTGTCGCCGCCCCCACTCTCTGGAACTTCCTACCACAACACATCCGCAACTCTACTGACCTCCAATCCTTCAAATCATTTCTTAAAACTCACCTGTTCCGCAATGCTTTTAACACCTTTTAATCTCTTGGACCCATTTTTGCTTTGTTTTTCTTCCTCTTAACAGAGAAGCGTGAAACAACAGCACGTTGTTTCTGTGAAGCTCTCTCCAGAATGCTACAACCAATGTTTGCGGCTCGCAACAACAGCAACTGCTTAGCTCCTGGTGATTGATTGCTTTTATTTTGGGTGGCCGTCAAATCCTTGGTTTGGAATGATTTTTGGGATTCTAAAGAAACCTTTTCCGCTCTTTCCCCCAACTATTACAGCCAACAATGACATATGTGCAAGCCATGAGGAATGGCAAATGACAACTTGTTAGTGGGGCGAGCCTTTCAATATGTCCGCCGGCAATGCATTGTGGGAAATGTAGAAAAGGCCCAACACTTCGATAGGGCCAGTGTTAGCCATGTCCGACTCTTGGCATCACACTGAAGTCACAGTCAGGCAAGTAAAAGCTGAATGAATTATGGCAATCATGAGCTTATCTATCTATCAATCTATATCTGTCATGATTCGGTTTGGGACCAACAGGTGGCATTGTAGGGCTCTCCCTGCAGCTGCACACCTGTTGGTCGTTATGTAATTAGTAATATAAAAGGACTCCTGCCCGGCCACTCATTGTCGGGTCATTGTTGCTGTTTGTTTGTTTGCTTGCTGTAGCTGTCATGTTTGTTTAAGTCATGTTTCGGTTACTGTTATGTTCTAGCTTTGGTCATGGTTTTTGTTTGATACTTTGGACTTTATTTGTTGTTAGGACTTTGTTTGTTTTGGATTTAGTTTTCTGTGTTTTATCAATACAATTTTTCAAGTACACCCTGCTCCTCCTTCTTGCCTGCTTTTTGGGTTCCACCACCACCTCGCATCGTGACAATATCGATACTGAACAATATGAAATACATTTATCGTGATGTACTTTTCAGTCATATCGCTGAGCCCTAACCAGGTATAATCCATTTCATCAACTTTATATCAACAGGTCTTCTTTCCCTGTCCTGTCAAGAGGTTTTTTTTTTTTTTTTTTTTTTTTTTTTTTTTGCCTTGCCTCAAAGTAAAGCGTGCCATAATCTTGATTCTGGGTCCTCAGTCACTTAGTCCGTGGGGATCTTTGTTCAATGCTGTGAGGTCTTGTATAGATGATGTGAGCCTTCACAAATCCTGGCTATTAAATTTAATCGAATATAAATGGATAGTAGTAGATAGTGAAGAAGAGTTGAATTGCAACTGTCCTTGTTAATGTGCAATTACTTTTTCTTTGTTGTTCATTTCTTTGTTTTTCTGTTATCGTTTACTGAGATTACGGTAAATTGGTTCGGAAAGTCTGCTATAAACATTCAAAGTATGAAAAAAAAGATGGAATGAAGTCTGAATCTTCTGAATGCCGTGTGCAATTGAATTGAAACTGCGTGATCACATTTCATTTAATTCTGCAAAGTCATGCTTTTTTTTAAACAGCATACTGTATTATACTTTCTTGTGTGTTATGAGCTTTTGTATGACTGTCATTTCTCTCTGGCTACGGGTAATTTTTCCAGTAAAGTACATCATAAAAACTTGCTGCATTGTTAAAACACTTGGGAAATAAAAGGTGCTGACATTTATTCGAGGTTATGAATGTTGCAATGTTGGCCGCGGATGACAGATAACTGATCAGAAATGCTGTCTCGAGCCATTCCTTTTCTGGAACAATTTGATAAGGAAGCAAATACGATTATGCGCTCTTAAAGACTGCATAGCTTCTGCTTCTATGAGGTAACGTCAGTGGCTCTGGTGTTGAATTCTAACACAGTTATGTATTGGAACACTGTATGAAAACAGAAAGATAAACAATCTGACATTATTCTACTGATGTTTTGTTAAGTAACAACATTATATGGCTGAAATATCAAGAATCAAAAGCCACTTAATAAAACTGAGGGCCAAATTCACAAAAGGACAGATTTTTGCGTGGTGCTAACCAGTAAAAACGGAGCAAAGAGATAGTGTTTAATTCAGAAAGCACGTGCAGTTGGTGAAATGTGTCACAAACTTAGATAACAAGCAGAATGCATCTCGGTGCACCGGTTGTATTTGCACGTAATTGAATGAGGTAATATGCACTAAATTGGTGGAGGATTTGCCCCTCCCCTTTTTGCAAATGAGCCCCATTGATGAACAACGTCTAAATTACTGATGCCAGCAGTATGAGCCACACGCTGTTTGAATGAAGGAAATAACGTAGAAAGCGAGTGTAATTTG